ATTCAAGCAGATAAGAAACAGAAACCTCATCAATTTAATAATTGTTCAAAAACCTACAACTAATATTAACAGTGAACACTGAATTCTCTCCCCCGAAGCTCAAGAACTTAAGCAAGGATGTTTACTCTCACTACTTCTATTCAATATTGTACTAAAATCTCTAGGCCGTGCAATAAAGGAAAAAAAGAAGATACAAAGTCTGGGAAGGAATAATTGAAATGGACTCTATTTGCATATGCTGATTCTTTACATACAAAACCACAAGAAATCCATTAAAAAACTACTAGAACCCATAAAGAGTTCATGAAAGTGCCAAGACTAGTGGGTCAATATACAAAAATTAACAGTTTTACTCTATGGTAGTAACAAACAATTGGAAAATAAAATGTTTAAAATTCCATCTGCAATAATGTCAAAAACATCGAATAGCTGACAGTAAATCTAGTAATGAAAGAAGGGTTTCCATATGGAAAACTATAAAGTTTTGGCTTTAGAAATTAAAGAGCATCTAAATAAATGGAGATTGTGTGTGTATGCAAATTTATATAAGTATATACTGTTCATAAAATGGAAGACTTACTACTATTTAGATGTTATATTTAAGGAAATCTAAATCATAAACCTTTTTCTTTTTTAGAGATTGATGAACTGATTCTGAAGTGAAAATGCAAAGAATCTAGACTAACAGCAACAAAAATCTTGATTAAGAAAGATGAATTGGGGCACCTGGGTGGCTCAGTCGGTTAAGCCTCAAACTCTTGGTTTTGGCTCAGGTCATGATCTCATGGTTCCTGAGTTTGAGCCCGACATCAGGCTCTGCACTGACAGCTGCAGAGCCTGCTTGGGATTCTGTCTCCCTCTCTTTCTGCCCCTCCCCTGCTGTCTCTCTCTCTCTCTCAAAAATAAATAAACATTAAAAATAAAAAAGAAGAAAGTTGGATAAATTATACAACGTATGCATTCAGTACTACCCTATAAAATTACAAACCTTAATTACTAAGAAACCTAAATGACCCATCCAGGAGTCTGACAAAAGAATGATCTCTGTGAAATAAGGAACTTTTAAGAGAATGAAAGTAGTCATGAAATAACATTCTAGGATGACAGCTGGGACAAAATTTATAACTACAAACAAAACAGGAAAAAAGGCACCTGATTATAAGGAAGTACTAAAGCCTTTAATGACAACTTCAAAGCAGCGTTTCATATTCTCTTATGGAATGTTGCCATCAATCACTACACCTTGCTAATTGTCATGTAAAACTGTGTTCAATGGTAGACTATGAAAGCTTCTCAATCTCTTTGCCAGAAGGGTTTCAGAATCATTCTGCCTGTTGATGCCCCCTTCAACATAGGATTATTAATATAATCAAGGATTCTAATAATTAAGCACTACAAAAGACTGTTCCACAACCTCATGGGTTGAAGGTCTACTAATTTCAATATTTCTACATATAATGATGACTTACTCCCTCTTGAATTCATTTAACACCATTTTACTGACTCCTCCTGTGATCCCTTCTACATTCCTGAATACTCTGCTTTTTAGGCTCCTCTTCTAATTCCTTAATATCTATTCGTATTCCCTAGTATTTGCCTCTTTTCTTCTTCCCCTTTATATTCTCTCTAGATACTCCCATTCATACACCTATACCTAAATGACTCCTAATTCCCTATTTCTAGCCCTCGGCTCTAAAATCACATGCCTGCCTGTGAACCTACATCTCCACTGGGAAGCCAAAAAAGCATTTCAGATATATTGCTATGGCAAACCCCGTATTCATCTTCTCCTCCAAACTTGCTGCTTTTCCTCGGAACCAGTATTTCTACATCCAATTATAAATGTGACACACTTGTCAGTGTGGGCTGCTCTCTCCACTACCTTCCTCCTCCCATAAACTAAGAACAGTCTATTCTCTCTGTCAGGACAACAGGAGCTTCCGGTCATGGTCTCTACTTGCTCTTCCAGCTTCATCTCCTCCTTCTTGACCCTAAGAAATCTTTTATTTAACTCTCATTCTATGCACATAGATTGCACATAAATTGTGCCATCTACCAAATAAGCACTCTTCCTTTATTACTGCTAAATTCTCTTCCTTACCTTACAAAACTGCAAATTCCTACAGTCTCTCAGACCTCAAGCATCTCTCTTCTTGGAACCCACGAATTTGTTCACTATTGTGTTTACTGGTGACACAGATCAAAGTAACTTTGGTTTGGTGACAGGGAAAAATCCTTGCATTACTGCTCCTAAGTGAGTAGAGCAAAGGAGACTACAAATAATTACAATGTTGTTTGCTAAGTACCAGGATGAAATAATGACAGGATGCTATAGCAGCAAAAAGGAGGCATACAATCACTGTTAACCACGGTCAGTTTTGCATCGACTGAGCCTCCTAGATAAGTAGAAATTCGTCAGGTGGACCAGTTGGTCAGAAAAAGCCATTAGTTCTCAAGGTACTTTCTCATAACTGCTAGTGCCGTAAAGCAGATGGAAATGAAGGGGTAAGGCAGAAGGCTGGAGGGAGAGATCACATTATGAAGACCTCAAAAAGGAAAGATAACCAAGCCATATGCAGGGCACATTACAGAGGCCAGGTCAGAGGCAAGGAGGCAATTAAGAGGCTTCTGCATTATGCCTCGCAAGAAATGACAGCCTTTAAACAGCAGCGGCAGTGAGACAGGACAGAAGGGTACGGAAGAAACACTTACCCTTGCTGGGGGTCCAAAGTACCACACATTTAATCTTCCTAGCAAGCCTACGAGGTAATGTTCCTATTTTTACACAGGAGGACCTCAAATTCCGAATATGTTACATGTTAAGGATGACACAGCTTACAAGTAGCAGGGGCAGATTCAAACTTTAAATATCCGGGCTCCAAAGTAACATAATGGGCCAGTATCTCAAATGCATGTCCAAGTATAAATCAACAAATCACATTTTCACAACGAAATCTCTATTCAATTTATCAGAATTAATTCTTAAATAAACTTCCTCTTCCCATAGAGAAGCCTACCAAGTGCACAAGGAGATAGACTCCATCAAGTCTAGGGTTACATAAGATTTTAATATTATTCCGGGGTATCTATAATTTTAGTAGTATATCCAAAATCTAAAGTTGTTTTATGGACATAATTTACACATTCTCCTAATTAATAATTTTGTATGGGCCACAAGGTTTAAAAGTAATCTTATTCACCTGTAAAACCTCCACTCTGCCAACTTACAGTGCTGAGCATGTAGAAAACAAAGTATTGATCTAAAAATAAAACAAAGTGAAAATGTTTAAAATGACATCAATACTCTTCCTTAAGCAATATAGGCTTAAATGGGGAATAAAAGATTCAGTATTTTAAAATTCATTTGCCTAACAAACATGCTGCATGTATGTTATAGAACATACACGTTTTGGAAAACTCTGAAAAACACAACACCTCTAAAAAGAGAACGTCTAAAAACAGAACCCCTCTAATAACAGTGTTCAAACTAAGTGGAAGCAATGTTCCTTCAAGGTGTCCCTTTCCTGTTCAGTGAGTGGATTTCATTCTAAGTTACTTTTCATTAAAAAAAACCCTAAGGTTAGAAAAGACCAATTCCATATATATAACACACACAAAACCCAATCTACCAATTCGAAGTCTATAAATATTAATACGAGCAACACAGAAACTCTGAAAATTCTTTCATTCTCTAATACTTACAAATGAGAAGGTTTATGCTGCCTAACTTGCTCCAGTGCTTTATTTCAGAACTAAAGATTTATTTTAGACATTAAGAGGAACATGAGATCTGCTGAACTATTTTAGGTAAAAAAGCCTCCCACCCTCCATATCAGGTATGTTAATAGCAGCCATATATAAAATGCTGAGGCCAAACGGGCAATACCAGCACCCCCAAGAACACTGACAAAACTATAGTATAATCTCAAGTCTTGAGACAAAGATGGAAGACAGGTTTCAATTCACCTGTCAATTCCTATAGATTAGCTACCTTTGGTATGAGACTGGGGGATACTTTGTCCAAAACAGATCATAAAGGTCTGCCATGGACACAAGAGCGTGTGTTACCCTTGATCTCAGCCTTATGCTGCAAGACTGTACTCGAGTATTCTGTTTCTATTATGGATTATTTCATTATTGTTTCAAATCAGATAATGCACCTGATGTGAAATGTAATATGGAAACTCAAGGGAAAAGTTTTGGGGGGTGTTTTTGTTTTTTCTGCTATGTCTGACAAAACAAATAATAAACCTAATATTAAGGACACCTGGGTGCCTCATTTGGTTAAGGGTCTGACTTTGGCTCAGGTCATGACCTCAGTTTGTGGGTTCAAGCCCTGCATCGGGCTCCATGCTGACAGTGCAGGGATCCTCTCTCTTCCCCTCCTGCACTGGTACATTCTCCCTCAAAATAAATAAATCTTAAAAAAAAATAATAAACCTAGTATCAGTTTCCTAGAAAACACTATCTCAGGGATGGTTTTGGTTAAAATAACTACGGTTACATTTTTCAAATGCTCTTTTTATTCATCTGGAAAATTCAGTGTATAAATATGTAATATATAAGTATATACGTGTGTGTACACACACACACACATACATAACTGTTTTAGGAGAAAAGAGCATTTCAGCTTGGTGACTTAAATAATGTCAACTACGTATGTTTATTTGTAAAATTTCCCATAATGAAACGTTATAGTTACCTATAAACATTCATCTTTCACTATTTACAATTTGAATAATCATGGAATGTTTGTATAGTGCAACCAGTTGGTATAGAAAACTCACACAAAGTACATCTGATCCTAAACCTTTACAAGTATGAAGTTACTTTCACTGGGTTTTCAAAGTGTTAAGTAGAAACAGGATGAGGTCAGCAATACTTAAGATGAGGCACTTTAACAATTACCCAAAAAAAGTATACAAAAGTGTCAAACAAAACTTGTTCTTAATCATATCCCTAATTTCAGACGTGATTGATCTGAGATGCTCTATATTAAGGAATGTTATAAATTTTTATTTCTTGCACTTTCCCTACTCAGCCCAAGGCAACGTTAAGTATGAATACATAAGATACACAGACATTACCACAGACCAGTTAATGTGCTTACATACAAAGGAACTAAAACATGATCCAACGACACTGGGGGTTTTAGAAAGTGACTGTTTTAACAAAAACTTCTGCATAATTTTTTCATAAACATGTATACATTGATCTCCCAAAGGCAAAATGCTATTCACTACCAATCTTCTAGACAAAAATGCCCTCAAAGGTATTAACTGAATCAAAATTAATCGTCTGTGTACTTTTCAAACACTGAATTTTTAATATTCAGAAGTTAAAATTAAAATTTAATTTTAAAAACAGAGAAATTAAAATATTAAATTTACCAATACTTTCTAGATTAGCTTTAAGATTAAAAACAGTAATAAGTAACAGATGTTTTGTTAGTCTTTTGAGAAGCACCTTTCAAACACATTATTTGGCCAATTCATTTACAACCTTAAATCACGCTCTCTGTATATGAACACTGTACCTTTTCATAGTTAAGATAATAAATACTTGATTTAAAAGTATTAATTCCTGTTGCTGCATGAACTCACAGTACTGTATTTTTCCCCATGGTCAGATTTCAACATACCTCTTCTAGTAAAGAAAATGGCGGACCCAAATTTTTAAAGGTCACCCAGAAGGGATTAAGATTTGGTCCCATTAACAGTTTAAAGTGAGAACTGTTAAATCTCGTTAAATTTGTTTCTAGTAGGTTATAACTTGAGCAATTTCTATAGCTCAGATACCCAATGTTTAATAAACATAGGAGCTAGTACTCATTCTAACATACTTAGCTGTTCCAAGTTCATTTATCAAAATCGCTTGCTGTGTGTGTATACGTGAGTGCACACGCACTCCCCAATTCCCTAAAGCACTCTTGCTCCCCTACAGAAAGAAACTGGTTTTCAATCAATACACTAGCAGACACGTAAGTCCCTTCTAAAATAAGAAGTGTGACAATTTTCAAACAAATGAAGAGAGAAAATACTTCTTTAAAATGACAAAAATTAAGCTTGGCAAAAGTAGTGACTTTTATTTACAATTGCATGTATCAAGATTACAATAAAAACACTAGTGATACCATCCAAACAAAAGCAATGATTTATTGGTAATGGCAATGAATGGAATATTGACAGTCTCTGATGAGAATCAAGCAATTATCCAGGAGCTGTAGATCTGATTGCAATATGGTCTTCCAGTGTCTTTTGTACCTTAGTGGCTTTCTCCTTTTTTGCCAACTACCTAGAAAAACAAAAATAACTTTACATGTACATCTTATTGATTTAGGAATATGTGTTATTTTCAAAATATTCCTAACAGGTAATCATCTTTAAAACCTGGTGTGAATTTTTGTCCCTGCATTTTACATTGGCATGCAGTGTATTTTCATTGTTGAAGCACACTGTGACCTTCCCTTTCCTCCCAGCCTCAAGGAATTAAAAATAAAACACATGCAGACTATTTTTGGTTTCCCACACTGTTTAAAGGAAAAGTAATGCAATTTTTCAAAACAAGGTTGACAGTTTAGAGAAGTTAATAAAAGGATGATGCTTTATGAGTGAAATATATTTGGCAAACTATTTTTAGGCAATTAGAAATCAAATGTCGATCACAAAATACTCTAGAATTAAAGAGTATACTAAACTTATGCCTAAATGCCCAAGATGACAGGTTTCTAGACTTTCTCTCAATATGTAGATATGCAATAAAAACACATTAAAAATGACTAGTTTTGCCTAGTTTCTATTTTTAAAAAAACTCTGGTTGCTACAAATGTACTATAAAAAATGTAAAGAATAAATCTTGTTTTTGTCAATGATCAGAAAAATTTTTCTATTGGAGGGCTTTAAAAATGTCCTATTTGCCACAAATGCGGAAGCATGAAAATGCAGGAATGAACTAGGTGTCTACCACCAGTGCCAGCAAACAAATCCTCTGTGGGAAAGTTCTACAACTAAGTTCTAAGCAAATAATTTACTTAAAACCTGAAATAGTTAAAACCTGAAATTTATCATTAGATAATGTATTCTCATAGCAGAAACACCTCTAAAGAAATCTAATTGCAAGCTACTGAATATATATTTGTATATAAGATTTCTATGTACATTTATAAGTGTCATTTTCCTATTTTAAATTGGTTCTGTTCCAAACGGTAGTTTGAATCAAACAAAACTCATAAAGGTCTTCTGTACATGCCTGGTCTAAAACAATGTGGCTGGGTCAATGTCATTCATGAGAGAAGATTATAAAAACCCACTTCATTCTCAATCATATGATGTTAAACATGCAGTTTTTCTGACCTTGAGGAAAACCACTTTCATTACTTTAAAAGATCTCCTCTCTGATCTACGAAAACCACGTGTTAGAAAGCCCAAAAAGCCAGAAAAATGCTAGAGAGTCTCGTAAAAGTATGTGGATACGAGTAAAAAAAAAATTCAGGATTTAAGAGCCAAGGGGAGCCTTCTTAAGAAAGAAGGGGAGGTGGCACTATCTGTATCACAAATGAATTTAAGCAGATAAACACTGAAAGCATTATTGATCATCATTATCACTGGGGAACACGCAAAACACAGCTATTAGATTAAGCAAAGAAAACAACTAATATTAAAAATTAAAATTTTAGCAGATGTGATACAGTAGAAGACACAAATCTGCATACTGTTTCACAGGTTGATAACTCTCAACTTGCCAATGTGTATTCTCTGTAAAAAAGAAGAAATTCAGCATTCCAATATGGATTTTCTCACCCCAAACATAAAGAAGCTCTTTTATTCATTTTTAAGTGTTTATATTACACCTCAAACAATAGTCTAGGTACATCAAAATTAGATGTCAAAAGTATTTATTCAAGTAAAGAGTCCATTGATCTTCTATGTGAATAGTTTAACCCAGCCTAACATTCAGTCCGTCTTTCAACACCTTGAGCTCACTTGTGTAGGAAAAGCAGAGGACATGCCCATAATTAATCAGCAAAAAGCCTTTGGGGCCACAGTTCCATTGGGTAAAGAAAAGCAATATATTATAATAAGCAATATATTATGCTAGTACTAGTATAAAAGAAGCATATGAAACTATTCTTATTTGATTTCCAAAATGATTCTATATTCTCAAAAAATAAAATTTAAACTTCAAATTGGATTAAAGCATCCAACGACTAGTAAAGTCTGAAAGCATTTATAACACTTTATTGCAATATTACTTCTCAAAATGTAGTACAAAAATGAAATATGAGACAGGAGAAAGTAAAAAAAAAAATAAATAAAAGTCAGGGGGGCAACATGGTATGATAATGAAATTAAAGCACCTAGTTGCAAGCCCACAATAAAAACCAAAACAAAAGGCCAACAGAGCATGGCTAGGGTAAGACGTGAAGAAAGAGATGGCTGAGGAAATCTAGGTAACAAGAAGGCTGATCCAGATGATAGAAGCTGTAGAAATCTTGCACCAACAATGGCGAGAACATGGGAAGGGTGAGAGCAGACAGGTGCTACAGATGAGCAGAGAAGCAAGGAGGGAGGAGGGTGAGATAAGGTCAATCTTTATATTACTTCAGTTTTAAAAATCTTCTGTTTTTAGTTCATTTGAGTTGCATTAAAAAAGCTGAAAAATAAACAGACAGAAATGTTACAAAAATAGCTGATACGGTAAATGGCCAGTTTAGAAAAATCTATTTGTATTACAGTGATAGAAAATCTGCTCTGCTTTTCACATGCACCTCATTCCGTAAGAAGCAGAAGCCCCTTTAGTTTTGCTCGTTTTTGTACACTTATATGTTATTACTTTGGTACTAAAATAAAGCAATCCACATATAGTGCATATTTTAGCAAGGAAAATCCTTCCAATTAAGATGGCAAGCTTTTCATGCTGCACACAAAAAATCCATTTACAACAACAAACAGCCCAAGTGTATATTATAATGTGTGTACAATGCCTATAATAGCCAAAAACATACAAATAGGAGGTGTGTTCTAGTCTACCAAATCCTGCAAGTATACAACCTTTAAAGTTGAGGTAACATGCAAGGTGGTTTAAGATTTCCACCCAACATCCAAGATCCATCAGCATTACCTGAGCTTCTGTCATCTTAGGGATATAAGGAGAAGACCAATGACACTGAAAACTAAAATTATCTAGAAACAACTCACACAATATAAAAATGTAAGCTGAAAATGCAAAACAATTCTATTTTATCATTCTTTAAGCCATTTTATATAGCTCTTTTTACTACACAAAGTATCAAAATGTTCTTCTCTGTGCTGATAAAAATGCGTGCCAAATCTATTTTGAAATTTTGAATTCTAATTACTATATGTAATCCCTTTGAAATTCAGACTAACTAAACAAAGTCCTGCACCTTCCCATGTTCATGCCCAAGTTCCTAATTTTCTAATCTACCTGGAGAGCCCACTGCTATCTTTTCCTGTATCCATTTCTACTCCCACAGTTTAGTTCAAGACCCTCTTCCTCCATAAAACATTCTCATTCCTCTGGTAGATATTCTTGGAAAGGAGGAAGTATCACTGGGCTAGGAAAGTATGAGAATATTCTGTAGAGGAAAAGACTTGACCTAAGCTTTGATTAATTCTGATTAACTTTCCAAATGTTTGTGCATTATCGTTTAAGAATATACTTGCTATAGAAGGTGACTATGATTACACCTAGCACAGTATTAAAGGGACAGCAAGTACTATACCATGTATCTATCATTTCCTTTTCTAGAAATGAAACTCACTTATCATTTTTAATAAGCAACTCATCTAGACAAAATCTAAAATGGCCAAATAGTATTGCAATTTTCCTACACTGATGTTGTTGTCCTAGCGTAATGCAAAAAGCGCTGAAATACTAGCTTACTTTTGAGAAACAATTCAATGAATGACACAAGTCTCCTTCAGAAACTATTAAAAGGAAATGTAATGTAATATTAACATACATAAGAAAACCATTCAACCAATTAAAATTTATCAAACATTAAAAGCAAGGGACTAACCTCAAGAAAGGAGTCCACAGCAATATTAAATTATTTTTGAAGCAGTTCTCAGTGCAATCTAGGCTGATGGTCCCTGAGACCCTTTCAGGGAGTAAAGTCAAAACTATTTTCAAAATAATGCTAAATTATCATTTGCCTTTTTAACTCTCATTGTATTACAAGTACGGAGGTTTTCTAGAGGATACATGACCTATAATGGCAAATCTGACTACATGGACAAAGAGACAGAGAATGAGAGAGGGGTCTATTAAGCCAGATGATAAAAAAATTTGCAAAGCATAAAACAATGCTCTTCTTGCTAAATTGGATTTTGGAAAGCATGTAACTTAAAAATATTATATGTGTTAACAATGAGTTTATTATTTATAAATAAATAATTTTTAAATTTCTCCATTTCAGTTTCTTAAAGGGTAAATATTAGCTAGATATAGCCTACGTTAACAAAAGCTCTTTCTGCTGCTTAATAATATTCTATAGTGTTAAACGGTCCTGAGGCCAACAGTTTGATAACTATTGCTCTACAGTAATGTTAAATAAAGTGATAAAGTATTTAGTTGAATGACGACATAGCGAAATTATACAACAAACACAAATACTCTCAAGCAAGAAAAATCTAGCGCCTTTGCTATATCCTAAGGACAGTCCCAAATGGGTAGTCTGGTAAGTCGAGAGTGAGAGAGAGTGAGAGAGTGAGAGAGTGAGAGAACGAGAGCGAGAGAGCGAGAGGAACCAGACTAGAAGACACAGGAGAGGGAGGATGTTAAAACCGAAGTGGAGACGAGTCTGAGACGGACAACTATAACACACATTAGAAAAACTGACCGAATGGCAGGCTGGTTGGAAGAGGGTCAAGATGGAGCAGTGGTTACTTACAGAGAAAAATGGAAATCAAACAGCATGAGCTGAGGTGAAAAGCAGGGAACGTGAGCTGGATTAATGGTATGAGGAAATAGTAATGGCTTAGAGTCAATCTCATGAAGGAATTAGGCTAAAAACAAACTATGCAAGGCAGTTAAAGCCAAATCCAATGGCACCCAATCCACATAGGCAGAGTAATAAAGCAGGCAGCCAATGTCTTTGGTGCTCACACATTTTCCCAGTACAGCATATCTCACATCACAAAAACGGAGATGTTTAATCTCTGCTTCTTCTGACCTGTCATTATACATACGTCAAACATTTGACATGACTGGTCTAAGTACATAATTGTCCTACAGCTCCCAAAAGTTAATTATGTTATGAGACAGGAAGATATAGTAGTTGAAAAGTGACTGGTTAAAATACCTATGGTCAAGGTTATGACTTTTGTAAAAACAGCATACAATTTTATAAGCTTATCCACAATCGCACAGTTTTATGACTTTGTCTGTGACTGAATTAAACTTAGATCTGTAGATACCATCAAAGAGAGTAAGAGTTTTCGAGGTACTCCGTGGCTTCAATTCCCCAAATGGGGGTCTAAGCTGTTCAGCAGAGCGCTTCTTCCTCCAGGCACTGGCAGCCCTGGGGAAACTCCCGTCATATAATGACCTCCTGACAATGACTTCCCGTCCTACGTGGCTGCCCAGGAGCCATCAGAAACACGGTGACACCCCCACCGCCTGCGCTACTGCACATTTAATCTGTGTACAGCCACTGGATCCTGTTCTGATAAAGTTCTCAGTGGCACTTCCGTGGTCTGTGGCTGTAATACTTTAAGAGTCACCCGAAGAAACCAAGCAGCAGTAGTTCCATGAATGCACAAGATGCTCTCATCCCTAAGAGTCCTACATAGCTTACAAATTCTTTGCAAAGCTTAGGACTGTGTCCACAAAATAAAACAAAAATATACACACATATGTATGTAATCTGCCTGCTGATACTTATTTGCCTATGCAACGAGGTCTTTCAGCACACAGACACGCTTTAAAAGCATCTCCGTGTAGTAGAACTAAGGCCATTCTTTTTGATTAAAATTATTCAGTGATTTAAAAAGTTTTCGAGAGAAATAATCAAAATCTTAATATCAGCAAAATTCTTAAAAAAAATTCACTTATAACAATGATTTTAACTTACTCCTATTTTGACATTATTCCTAACTACTTTCTACCAACAAACATTTATTTAGTTGGTTTAATTTCCTTTTATTTATCTTTTACTTCATTACAGTTGGGGATTTTAATTTGAAGTATGGCTGACATACAATGTTATATTAGGTTCAACAGTTCTACATTACACTATGCTCAGCAAATATTTTCACCCTCGTATTTGGATACCATTTACTAATAGATGCTTATCAGTAGGACTTATTTTTATTAGAAATATCTTTTAGTTAGATATCAAAAATGTGATTAAGGGAACCTACTGTTCTAGTCTAACCCCAAATATCACGACATGGTATGATTTTGATCTCTGTATTATTTCTTTAAAATTATATTTTTATTTCCCCTAAATACCAATTAAGTAAACTTACTCGTTTGAAGTCATTCATATTTGTTGCCTGGACTGGTGTACCAATAAAAGTAAAATATGAAATTCTTGTTGTTTCCTCTTCACCTTGATTGGACTGAACAAATATCTACCCCCAACGAGAAAAAAAAGAATTTTTATATTAATGATAATCCTTTTCACATATACATGCTTTACAACTTAACTGATTTTGTTAGATTATTAATAAACATACCTCCTACTCTTTGCAAGGACCAATCCAAACTACACTTGGACTAGCGCTCGTGCAGGATTACGACCTCGGCTGTTCGCCCTGCCAGCCTCACCTTCTCCAGGGCGTCATGGCAAGACGCCCACATACACAAGTTTCTGATAAGTTAGTGTGCCGGTGTGGAGGAGTCACACTTAAATTCTTTACAGAGAATGTTGAAAGAGTATGAAATTCAGTACAGCAGACAGACTGCTGTTGAAATTTTATGAAAATTAGTTTCTGACTGGGGAAAATCTCTGCAGCTATTTTCTCTATGATACTCATCCATTCATTCTATTTCCTAAAAATATTAAAAGAAAAAAAACAGTATTGGAAATCTGCTTCTAAAATTACACTATACTATATAGCCTGCATATTTTATTAACCTTGACTGTATATTTTTTAAATTTATTTATTTTGAGAGCGAGCGTGCAAGGGAGGGGCAAAGAGAGAGGGAAATCCCAAACAGGATCCAGACAGAGGAAGAATCTCAAGGAGACTCCATGCTGTCAGCACAAAGGCCAACGCAGGGCCCGAACTCACGAACCGTGAGATCATGACGTGAGCCAAAATCAAGAGTTGGCTGTTGTAACCAACTGAGCCACCAGGCGCCCCGACTCCTTATACTTTCTATTTAAAAACTCCCCTCAGCATGATAGTAGACAGCAGCTTTACTCACAGGTCCTTTTTCAATATATTGGCTTCTCTCTATATGTGTGGTTTTTGTTTGTTTGTTTTTTTTGAATGGCTAAGTTGGGAGTTTATTTTGTCTTACTTTTTAAAAATATAATTTATTGTCAAGTTATCTAACATACAGTATATACAGTGTGCTCTTGGTTTCAGGAGATTTCCATGATTCATTGCTTACATACAACACCCAGTGCTCATCCCAACAAGTGCCCTCAATGCCCATCACCCATTTTCGCTTTCCCCTCACTCCCATTTATCCTGTTTGTTCTCTGTACTTCACAGTCTCTTATGGTTTGCCTCCCTCTCTGTTTTAAACTATTTTCTCCCCTTCCCTTCCCCCATGGTCTTCTGTCAAGTTTCTCAAATTCCACATATGAGTGAAAACATGATATCTTTCTCTAACTGACTTATTTCACTTAGCATAATACCCTTCAGTTCCATCCATGTTGTTGTAAATGGAAGATTTCATTCTCTCTCATTTCCAAGAAGTATTTAAAAAAAACAAAACACATTACATGCTGTCTACTTAAGAATATCACCTCTCTAGGGGCGCCTAGGTGGCTCAGTTGGTTGTTTAAGTGTCCGACTCTTGATTTCGGCTCTGGTCATGACCTCATGGGTCAGGAGATGGAGACCTGTGCTGGGCTCTGCGCTGACAACACAGAGCCTGCTTGGAATTCTCTCTCCGCCCCCCTCCTCTCTCTGCCCTTCCCCTGCACAGGTGGGGGTTCTCTCTCTAAAATAAATAAATATAACGTCAAAAAAATTTTTTTGCCTCTCTTGATTTAGACAACATATTTCTTTCATTCTCTGATGGCATTAATCAGTTTTTGGTGTTTATAGGCAAACACAGATTCATCTCAAACTGAGCTTATAAATTAAAAATTCCAAGACTATAATAGGTAGACTATTAAACCAGCTCTCCATTTACTTGTAATGCTCTTTGGATCTTACAAAGCACAACAGTTTATATTCACTGCTTTTAAAATTCATCTTACTTTGATTAGATTTTCCAATCAAAACTGTCATTTTGATTTCAATTTTATCACCAAAAAACTGATAAGCATGCTTTCGTGTCTTGATTTAAGTTACTGACTAAATGTCTGATTGAGATAGGACACAGTACATAAAGACTTGAGCCTATCACAAGATAACTATGTACAGTGATTCTCAATGGCAGAGAAGATTACAACAGGATGTTTGGGTTGAAAGGGCTTTTCCAATAAACAAATATCTTCCTTCTATCACTAATTAAAATAAAGCAACAGGTATTAATTGAGGATATGGTACAAATGTAGGTCAGGAAGATATGTGATAACCAATATACTAGTTTAATATAATCATTTTATTTGATTTCATTTGGACAGAATATTCCAAATACCGAAATCTCAATCACAATCCTTCAGCCTACTACTAAGAACATTCTGTGAGACTCTAGTGAAAAACCTCCTAAAATGAACACTATACCATTCTTCTAACTTACAAAAACCAGAATCATTTCATTCAACCAAGGAAATTACACTAATTTGCCCCAACTTGTTCTCAGTGACTCTGTGCTGGTTCCCACTGGTTTTCTAGGTATTCATTCCACTATTCTCCTTAAACCCTCCTCCTCCCTCCTCTGAAGGACTGGGCTGGGAGGGCAGGAAGGAGAAGGAGGTGGCTGGGAGAACAAATCCTGGGTTTCTTTACAATACTTCACAAAAGCAATCAATAACTGCAAAGAAGCGGCTAACTTCTTAATGTAAATTAAGATAACGTAAAATTATGTTTTTAAAAAGTCATTTGTATGGAGATCATGACCACTACACTATTAAAACTTGTGTGTCCTAGAAAAGTAAACTGGATTATACAAGTTATCATCACTCATTACCAGGTATGAAAGATAATGTACAAATATCTTCAGTTTAAATGTAAAGGGTCTATAGTAAACCTCTAACAAGAGCTGCCAAATACATATAAAGTAACTGACAAATTCACAAATTAAAAAAATCAACCTGTTCTTCCTCTTTAGAGCACACAGATAAACTAAAAGAAAATTTAATTAGCTCAATTATACTTTTTTCAATCATTTCAAATCAAGAGAACAAAAACCTACTTTCAAGGATCATTTAGAATCACCTGGGACACTGAAGGTAGCACGGACTGTCACCCACAAACCCATTAAATATAGTTGAAATACTACTTACAGTTACACTGTTAACATTCTGAAACTTAACGTAACGAAGTGGGACAATACCATCTTCTTTAATGTCGTCCTCTGTGAGTTCCAGAGCCTGAGTTGGTTCACTTCTTTCTGCTTCTTCAAAATCCATAGATCGGGGTAGATTGATAAAAATTTTTACATATTTAGGACCCTGACCTATAAAATGGTAGAATAAAATTAAAGGCTAAAACCAAATCCGCAATACTTTCTTCATTTCACCATTACATTCACACTATACAACCAGATACACATTCAAATATGTGCACATACCTCCATGCGTCTTTAGGAATTTTAAGAAATTCTGAGTTATTTTCATAGCCATTCTTTTTTCTTTTAATAGACACGTACTAGTGTATCCTTGGCCTGCTAGCCTTTTACTAAGAACTGAGAATACTAGATTAAAACACATATGTACCTATGCGTACACATACACATACACAGACTTCTTGCCCTCAACTATAAAAGACATGCTGTGAGGAATGCACAACTACTAGTGAGGAGATGCAGGGAAGGTGACAAGAGTCTAACGCTATACGCAGGTTAACAACAAGTTTCATAAGGGAACTTAACATTTGAGCTGGGTCTTGTAGTCGCCAACAACTGGCGATTCTGTTATTTAGAAAAAAAGCATTACCAGTGACAACATTTAGCTAAAGGGAAATTAAGTATACAAACTGCCAAGTTTCATCTTAGGGATTAAGATGTGCTAAGTGGTTAGATCACATTTATAGGATGTCTTGGTCCCTTTAACTTCAGGGTATAATCCAAAACCCATTATTTTGTGGCCAGTTAAGGAATCTTAACATCTTCATATTGCTTACTCATCTCTATAGCAACTGCTTTCACAAACACTTTGTATTTTCAGGATATAATTTTATTAATGAAAAATACTAATACATAAACATTTAAAATAATAAATGAGAAAGGAATGCTATCTGATAAATAGGGTGCCTGCTGTTTCTCCCAATTATAAAGAAAACAAAAAAAAAGTCCTAGTTCCCACTAATCCCCTCCCCCCAAAATCAAGAACAGGAAAAAAAGGGAGTATAAATAAGGAAAATTCTTTATTTAATAAATAGAAATGCCAAGTCTGTACAATCATGTTTACAGCATAATATATAAAGATGAAACTAATAGGTTACAAGTAGGAAGATCTAGACCCTCAGTTTTATCATCTATAATAGGAAGAATGTGAAATAAATTTCTCCCAGTTGTGATCCTAAAAAATGGCTACCTCAAACCTGAAGTTTCAGAATAATAACTGGAAGAGTTCCTTTGTTTTCAGATTAAGAGGGGAACTTAAATTCTACAATAAAAAATTTTAGAAATAAGGTAAAATTGGGGCGCCTGGGTGGCTCAGTCGGTTAAGCGTCCGATTTCGCTTAGGTCATGATCTCGCGGTTCGTGGGTTTGAGCCCCGCGTCGGGCTCTGTGCTAACTGCCAGCTCAGAGCCTGGAGCCTGTTTCAGTCTATGACTCCCTCTCTCTCTGACCCTCCCCTGTTCACGCTGTCTCTCTCTCTCTCCTAGAAATAAATAAAACATTAAAAAAAAATTTAAAAAAAAAAAAAGAAGTTAAAATTGTCCTTTTGTCAGTTCCTAATAATCTTACCTTATTTGCACATTCATTTATCTCCTTGCTTTGTTCCAGAAACAATTTCACTCTCTCCCAAAACAAGGAATATCTACCTCTATTATTTAATTACTTTTAAATATGCACTAACAGATCCACAGAACAGAAAGTTTTGTTTTTGTTTTTTTTTTTTTAATATTTTTATTTATTTCTAGGAGAGAGAGAGAGACAGTGCGAGCAGGGGAGGGTCAGAGAGAGAGGGAGTCACAGACTGAAACAGGCTCCAGGCTCTGAGCTGGCTGTCAGCACAGAGCCCGATGCGGGGCTCGAACCCACGAACCGCGAGATCATGACCTAAGCGAAAGTCGGACGCTTAACCGACTAAGCCACCCAGGCGCCCCTAGAACAGAAAGTTAAAGAGCTGTCCACTACTCACCATTATCTGGCCCTTGAAATTTCATTGAATAAAGCTTAACAGGTTGATTAAATGCCACAGTAATAAGTAGCTGTGAAGAAAATAACAAGTTTTATTTTAAAAGGGCTCTTGAACACTTTGAATATACACAACAGCTAAGCAGAATTAATACGATTAATTCAAAAGCAGAAAATATTTAACTCATTTCACAAAACCAATGTAATATAAAAAAAATCAGTAAGTCGAAAGTAACTTAATTAGACTGACATTTGAGAAATACAATCATCAATTATTCACATAAGGGAATAATGACAAAACTTAAAGGAATAAATTAAATTAAAAATATGCATACAGGAAGATTCTTGCTGTCTCAGTTAGTAGGGCATGTGATTCTTGATTTAGGGTTGTCTGAGCCCCATGTTGGGTGTAAAACCTATAAAAAACGGGGAGTGTAGGTAATGCCTAAGATCCTAAGGTCTTGTCTTGTGACCTGTAAACTGGCATTCTGCCTTCCTAAAAATTAAATAAAATCCCCAAATTAAAATAAAATTCCACTATATAGTTTAGAATATAAGCTGAACATTTTGTAGGATGGTTTGTCAAGCACGTACCCATATCGTCTGACAATTTGGAGACAATGCAGATTATGTGAAGAAACTAGTCCTCAAATGCACTGCATATGATCCGCAACTCAGAAGAAAAAGAATTTTAATAGCTCTATGGTAACCTCCAAACCTCCATCCTAAATTTAATCTACTGAATTTAGAAGGCCACATAAGGAAACCAGGATAGGAAACACTGTCAGGATGCCGATCTCTAAGAAACCAAGCGTCATCTGCTCAATCTTCTTCCCAGTTAAAATGATGTATGTATCTCTGCTTCTACCCTAGGAGGAAGATTTCCCTGGCAGTAAGGTTTCATGGAAGCTGTGGTCAGTTCCATTGATATGCATCACCATGTTATACTCACGGCACCATTTACAAGCAACACGATCAAGAACAATATTCTTAAAACTGTTCAGTAAGACAACTGTAGTGGGAAGAAAGATCGAATTTGGATTTACGATTTCATGATCATTGTCATCTGTGTGCCTAAGAAAACACCCAGACCATTTCCTCTGGTTATATAAATATACTTCTTATACTGGATCTGTAATCATGTGTCAAAAAATAATAAACATGACATATTTAGAGACTTGAACCACAGGTGAGGAGGAAATGAAAACGGAAACCTAGAAAGAGATCAAGAATCTGACCCTCTTTCTGAAGACTGTGAAGAAGAATCATATAACTCTTGAGAAAGAGAAGCATGATCACATTTATATTTTTGAAGAAAAACTTTTGGGGGTTCCTGTATGGCTCAACCAGTTAAGAGTCTGACTCTTGATCTCAGCTCAGGTCTTGATCCCAGGGTTGTGAGTTCAAGCCCCACCCTGCATTGGGCTCTACACTGGGCTGAAGCCTACTTTAAAAAAAGAAGAAGAAGAAGAACTTTTGTGAACACATAGAAGGATGAACTGCAATGGGGAACAAATCAGAGACAGCGTATTAGAAAATAAATTAAGGGAGTTCCTCGGTGACTCAGTTAAGCATCCGATTCTTGATTTTGGCTGAGGTCATGATCTCATGATTCATGGGATAGAGCACTGTGTCAGGCTCTGCACTGACAGCATGGAGCCTGTTTGGGATATTCTCTCTGTCTCTGTCTCTCTCTTTCTCTGCCCCTACCCAACTCATGCTTTTTCTCTCTTAAATAAATATTTAAAAAAAGAAAGAAAATTAAGGAAAATAACAGTCAGGATGAAGATAATGATGACTTGATCAAGGCAAGACTACACTACTTCCTCTGTGATGACAATGCAGGGATAGGGCAGTACAATACAAGTTTACAGCTGGGTGTGAGAACCAGACATTTAGGGAGTGCTCATCTAATTAGTCTCTATTTCTCAGGTACAAACTCATCTGGGTGGGTAAAAAAAATAGGGAAGACAGGTCTAGAACGAACAAAAGGACTAATGGAGTGGTGAAGATGCAACTCAGCAGTGGGGCCAATCCAAGCATCCTAAGATTCTGTATAATGACCCTGGCAGCTTGTACAGAACAGAGAAAAGAGGTGGGTCTATACCGTCAAAAAAACTGAAACTTACAAAAAGGAAAAGAAGTGGCCATCTGGGAAGGAGAAACATAAAACCATGAGGTGGAAACATGATAACCCAGAGACGGCATAAATATTGATGATCCCTATAAGCTTTAACTGGGAAGTATTCAATCACCTGTTCATCACAATCAGATTCCAAGAAGGTCATATCTTTTCGTAAGCAGTTGTCAAATCCATGCTCATCACTTTCGTTAAGACATTCACAGCCAGCTTTGTTAATAAAAGGCATTAAATCCATCTGAAAAAAATTAAATCAAGACTTCAGGCAAAGAATTTGGATTTGGTTTAATAATCTTCATCAGAAACGTAAATACATGATTTTCTCTAGATTAGACAATTAAAAAAAAAACCTTCTTTTAAGACAGATATCTTTTAAGAGTCTAGACTAAAACTTTTATAATGAAGCTTTCATTTGAATTTCTGACTGAGACCTATCACCATTAAAGCCAAATCTAGGCTTTGCCCATTTGATAAAGTATCAAAAACCAAGTCTTTAACACTAAGATTATAAAATGTTGACTAATATTTTTTACTGATTTGTAGTGCGAAATATGCAAATTAAAATACCCATAAGATCCAAAGGAAGCCTACCTCCCTCTTCTAGTGGTCATGTGCTCTTTAAACCTATATCCATAAAGAGTTTACATTCAAGATAAATAACAAATAAGGACTAAAATGGTTTTTATTATGGAAAATTTCAAACATGTATAAATAGAACACTACAGTCAACCTCAGGTAGTCACATCCCAGCTACAATAATCAGCTCATGGCCACTCTTATTTCATCTTTACCCAGCAAGCAGTCCCTACCCTCCTGTTTTCAGAGAAATCTTACACATTTCATTTATGAACATTTCAGAGTGTTCATGAGCATAAGAGATAAAGACTCGTAAAAAAAATCCTCAATATTATTATCACAGCTAAAATGAGTTGTACTTTAGTTAACAGCAAATATCCATGTCCAAATTTCTTTATCTCATAAATGTTTTATAGTTGAACTGTTAGACTCAAAATAAGAATCCAAACAAAGCACGCCATATTTGGTTAATGTCTCTCAACTCCTTTAATCTGTGATCATTTAGCGTCTATGGATTTCTAATATTCTGGATTTTGCTGATTGCTTCCTTGTGGGAACGTTTAACATCTTTCCATCTCCCGTGAACGTGTTGGTTAATACTTCCAACACAAGGTTGGAGCTGTGACCGTGGTCGACCTGGCACTGTTTCTGACGTTAGAAGGAGTGCCTCTTCTGCTCTCTCTTTTAGATTTTACAGATTGTTTTAGAAATAAATGGGTGTTGAATTCTGCCAACTGCCTTTTCTGCATATTAGGAGATTATAATTTTTCTCCTTTAGATTGATGGATTTTGTTTACTAATAATTTAAGAGTTTTATAATCAGTCTTAATTAGAACTGGTTAGTAGCTTTTTTGGGGTGTGTGTGCAAATTTGTCAGAATTTGGGATGAAGGTCATATTTACTTCAAAAAGAAATTTAGAGAGTTTTCTCTCTTTCTATATGGTCTTAACTAGTCTGGAATAACACTAGACGATCTGATCTTAAGATCTGGTAGAATTTCCCTGTGAAGCCACCCTGCCCTTTGTGGCAGAGGTGTTCAGTTATTTCCTCTACTTCCTCTATGGTGACTGGTCTATTTAGGAGTTATGGTTCTAGTGGAGTTGATTTTGAGAACTGTTTTTCTAGAAAAACATCCATTTTATCTACTAAACAAGGACTATTTTTTAAGTTTACCAAGTATTATAGACTATAGCTGACTGATTGTTCACCTTTCTATCACAAAGTGTATAACTTTTTTACATGTCAAATAATTATCAACAAAATTATCAATAGTTATTAGAATAGATCCTTAATTATTCAGAGTGGGCTAAATGCCTTTAAGCCAAAATACTGTTTTGAATTATATTAAAAGTTATATTGCATTAGATGAATAATACACACATTATTCAGGGTAACATACAGTAGCCAACTTAAGAACAGCGGGGGTTGGCATGCTGGCACTATAAAGCAAAGTTCTACTATTATAGAATTACTCTGAACTTTAAGAACATTTCCCTTGAAAGGGTAGTTTTAACAAAATCTTTTAAACACTTATATCTTCCATCCTACCAACATGCCTCTTCTATATTATATCTAGGATTATGATCCCAGGCATGAAGACAACATTGCAGCCATACTTGTAATATCTTAATGATGAAAAATAAACTAAATAGGTGATTTACTTAAAGTTGTTTTTTATATTTATTTACAGTGGGGCACACAAAACAAGTATCACATTCAAACAGTTGCATTAATGTGCTTTGCTATATACAATGTTGTCTGGGACAAACTGGCATTAAATCTGACCTAACTGCAAATGGACACATTCTGGAAATATGAAGCTGGAAATAAATATCACTACCTATGTAATCAACTTGCCAATGAGGAAAGAATAATGAGAAAACAATCAGACCAATCCAGATTGTGGGACAGTCTATAAGACAGATGGCCTCAACCTGCAGTGTACAATAAGATAGCCATTAGCCACATGTGGTAATTTAAATTAATTAAAAGTAGATAAAACTTAAAATTCAGTTCTTCAGTTGCACTAGTCACGTAACAAATGGATAATAGCCACGTGGATCTAGTGGCTATTATATTAGACTGGTGCTGGTTTAAACTTTCAAAAACGCAGTCATGAAAGAAAAAAAGAGCAGACAGAAGTTTCTAGAACACGAAAGAGAAACAACTTAACTGCAATACATGATCCTTGACTTGATCCTAGATGGGGGAAACACAGTTACAAAGGATATTTTGGAGATAATTATAAGAATGTGAACATAGGCTGTAAATACCAGAGATACTGTATACCATTGTTAAATTTCTTAGAAGTGACAATGGTATCATGGTAACGTAAAAGAATGTTCTTGTTCTTAGAAGCTACATGTTGAAATATTTATAGATGAACCATCATGATGTCTACACCTTACTTTTTAAATGACTCTGCAAGAGATAAAAGTAGATAAATACATATCAAGAAAGTAAAAATAGGGGCGACTGGGTAGCTCAGTCGGTTAAGCATCCAACTCTTGATTTCAGCTCAGGTCATGATCTCGCAGTTCTTGGGATCAAGCCCTACACTGACAGCATGGAGCCTGCTTGGGATTCTCTCTATGTCCCTCCCCCCTCCCCCCTCCCCCCACCAAGAAAGCAAAAACAGCAAAATATTCACAACTGATGAACACAGGTGAATGGTATATGTGTTTGTTATACTATTCTGTCAATTGAATGTTCATTTTATAAATAAATTTCACCCTCCATTTTTTTAGAGGTGAGAAAATCTAACACAAGACACACAGGAAGTTAGAAAAACTTTTCAATGCTTCCAATTTTAGTTAAAGAAAGATCTGTCTTACTACACAAATTAGGGTCACTAAAGGTTTCACTTCAATTTGATGAATGATGACAAAATGTGTAAACCAAAACCTATAGTTCTGTGGTCAGAACACAGAAATACACTAACAAGCCTCAAGATTCAGAACATTATGCAAATCCAAGTTCAATCCCAGAGTGCCTAGAATTCAAACTTGTGGAGAGGAAGACTTATTGATAGCCCTACTGTTATGAAGCGATACTAGCTACTCTTAACAAATATGAAAGAGAAGAGATAGAATTATTTAAATTTTCCTAATTTAAATATCCCAATGCTTCAATAAATATTTTGTAAACTAGAAGTCATTATATTCACAAGAACATTGTCTTACTTCTGAATAAGAACTATTACGATTCTTAACCTACATCTATTGCAATATTTCAATCCCCTCTAAAAGGGATGCACGTTATCTCTCTGACTCTGGGTTCAATGAAATCTGGAGTTCCAAAACTAGGATGTATAAAATCAGTAACTGAATAATACAGTCTCTTTGTGTTAAAAGATAACTGAAAGTCTTTAAAACCAAAATTTTATTTTAAAACTGCTCATACATTTTTTCAATCCTTATTACTTAAATCTGCTTAAGACACAGGCTTTCATTCACTGATTCTTACTCCAGTTAAGTTGCTATTTGTGCTGTGAGAATGATGACATTCTTAGAAACCCATTACCGATCTTAAATAATAACCTTGTAGACATAATAGTTCAAAACTTTTAAAGTCTTGATTGACACCTGATGGAAAAATGAAAATGTTTTTAATAGCTTTTCACATTGCATTCATAACATTTGCATGAAAATGAGACATTTTTAATTTCTTAAAACTTCAGTTTTTCATGCTTACTTCCTACCTGAGGCCAAAACACTGATATCACACTTAGCTAACGTATAAAGAAGTGGCCCTCTAGCTAAGCAGCAGGACTATTCCGCTCTCATTAAGATTTGTTCATGCAAAAACCCTTAGTAAATTAGGGGGGAAATACAAAGATGTAAACAAAACAGTTTACAGGTGAAATTTCCAAAATTTTCCAAAAGGTGTTACAACTCTGACTTACACAACAGGTTCATACTTTCTAACTGGGTATCACAATTTCAAATGATTAAATAACAGTTCTGTTTTAAATAGGTACTAATTGTGCCTCCCTAACTTCAATTAACTTCAGTACCACATGTTAAGGACACTCTTTGAAGATACAACCCCCCACCCCACTCTCAAAACAAAGACTCTCGTATTTATCTAACTATAGTCTCCTTATTCAGTGTGAATTTAAGAGACTTCTAGAAAGGACTTGTAGCCCATGACATTGATCTGCTTTAATGTACTTGATACATATTCTTTCACATATTAGCTTTAACTTGAGGTAACAATTATTTTTTAAAAAGTTCATTTTTGATCTGCCAATACCATTAACTTTAAAACAAAAAAAAATTAGGAAAGATACATACAAATATATATTTTGGTATGCAGGATTAACCAAGTTGCATCACAAGTCAGTTACCACAAAGTGCTACTTCTGAATTTTGGTTCCTTCCCGAATAGTTCTCAAATGATACTGAATTATAACAATTTTATTATGTTTAATTTTCAAACACATTTAAGTTCCTAAGTCTTCAAGTTATTATTTGAATAGTAACTCTTAAAATTCAGAAAAATGTACCCAATTACTACTGATCTGAAAATAACTAGATCCTAAAATAACTAGTCACATGTGATCCTAAAATAACTATATTTTTTTAACAGAAAAAGAGGTGCCAGAAAAGAGGGGCTACATTTAAAAAGACAGAGAAAACCATAGGAAATGGCAGGAAAGGGAGTTCAGCATAAAATGATCACACTTCAAAATTTAAAGGTCATTTTACACAATTGCTGAAAAATGGAAATTTTCCAATGCACATTTGTTCACATTTGGGAGGGGTAACATATAAATATGTAACTTAAAAAGTACACATAAACAGAACATATACCTTATATACAATAATAAAATAAAAATTAAATGTATATATGTAAATATATATACATTAAACATGAGTAAATGTTTAAAACTGGCTATTAAGACAATTCAGAAAACAGATTTAAAAAAAACAAGCGGCAAAGACAATTAGCAGAGGAAATTGAGGAAAAATTGTTTTTGATGAGAGCTAAAGGTTATAGTACATACAACAGAGACAAAAATCCACAGTCAGCTAATTATTTTTAAAGTTCTTATCTGAAAGTATTCTTAACTAGCAAAAGATCACAGTCAATTTCACTTTAACCAAACAATGACAGAAAATATATCCTGATTTCACTTTTAAATCTACCTACATAGCCTTTTGGAATATCTGTGTCCTCATTGCTTCCAGGGTCATTTTCTAAGTGCTGCTTGATTTTTTCTTCTAATCCAACAGCATCTGCTCCTTGATACTGATCAATTCTCACTTTGTTTCGAAAAAACAGAAATGTAGGTGTTGCTGATATATTGTTGGTGGCAGCTGTTCCCTAGAATTGGCAGGTTAAATGTTAAGAAATTAAAATTAATCATTTTTAAACCACTTAGAAAATTCATTTTATATCATCTATAAATATCACAAGCATAAACAAAAAAACATATAAAATAACGTATTCCCAATTGTTATTTAAGAGAAAGCAGGCCTATTACTGAGAGTACAACTACATGACCCTTACATTCCCAATAAAAACCTGTATTTTTATCAATTTTAGTAGTAAATACTTCACCCAAACAGCAGAACAAATAGTTTCCAATACAGAAATTGTGCTTTACAACACCAGCTAGCTCTCTCATAAGTACATGCTGTTTCTTAAGCGGAGAAACCAAAAACAGTATTGATCAGTCAACACAAACCACTGCTATGAGGAAAAAGTACCGATCTGACAAACAGTAGCCCGTCTCTCCACGAATATGAAGTAACATCCTCACCCAACTCTACTCATAGAAATGACTTCTGGCTTCCTACACCGCAACATCTACCTTTTAAAATTCTGCTCCAACTCCACAATACTATAAAACTAAGTACTGAGTGGATATCAGTTAATCACTGACTTGTGGTTTAAACTTTTCATAAGTACAAAGGAAATAGTAAAGCAAACGTGTCATCTTGCATATTCAAATACTATGAAAAGGTACCACTATGTTGCTTAAAAACATCATTGACCTTTTTAGAACAATGTTGTCCAAAATTAGACACAAATGTGGGCTATCTATGTAATTTTAAGGTTCCCATATCCAAAACAAAAAACTGAAATCAATTTTAATAATGTATTTTAGTGAATCCACTATTTGCATTTTCAGCACAGTCAATATAAAAAGTTCATGACGTATTTTATATTTTTTCATACTAAGCCTTCAAAATCCTATGTGTATATTTACAGCAGTTCTCAATTTGGACTTGCCACATTTCAAGTGTGCAACAACCACACGCAGCTAGTGGCTACTATACTGGACAATTAGCTCCAGAAGAGAGCACTTCTAGATTAGAGACAGAGCCTACTACAGGCCACTGCTACAGTCCACCAGTACGAGACAGAAGTAGAGCACTAATCAGGGTTTATACCAAACCGCAAATACTAACTACAAACTAGGTAACATTTAAAAAAAACTTTTCACACTCAGAAATGTATCAAAGACCAAACCTCACCAAAAAAGAGCAGCTACATATTTATTCCTTAGTCAGAACTAAAGACTACATTTTTCGTGATGGAACGAACCTTCAAAACATTTTCCCCTAACTCCTCCTCCATATTCCCACCTATGAAATGTCGAATGGCCACGTGGCCATTCCAACTAAATCATCAGGGAATCCCCACAACACTGTGGCTCAATCAACAGTAATCAACACTTTACAGTTCCTGCTGAGTATGGGGCTTTGAAGTTAAGATTACAAAAATGATCAATTCAAATCAAACTATAAGCAAGTAGTAGAAGATATTCCTGATTTGTGAAAGATAAACAAAAAATATAAAATGAAGAACTGCCAGGTGAGCTATTAAGTGGAACTTATTAGTTTTACATTAGAAAGATAGTAACATAAACAAACCCAGAAGCAATTAATACTGGACTGCCCTTTTTAACTAATGCAGCCACAATGACATTTGTAATAATTCATGTCAATATAACATTTGCCTATCTTCAAAGGAGTAAGTACTAGGTGCATAAAGAGATAAGCAAATGAAGGATGACATCAATGTTGAATTTCAAACCAATGTAATTTTTTCTTTTAAAAAGGACTCCTTTCCAGGGTGCCTGGGTGGCTCAGTCGTTTAAGCATCTAACTCTTGATTTTGGCTCAAGTCATGGTCCCGCAGTTAAGTTCAAGCTCCCCATTACGCTCTGTGCAGACAGAGAACCTGCCTGGAATTCTCTCTCTCTGCCCCTCCCCTGCTTACACTCCTTCTCTTTCAAAATAAACAAACGACTCCTTTCCCTTACCTGACACTGATGTACATCTACTTCCAGGAAAACTGCCTGTGGATACTTATTACTCATAGAACTGAATGCTGGGGCAATCCTTAAACATGGTCCACAGCTGTAAGAAAGTAAAACACATGCTTGGTTAAAAAAAAAAAAAAAAAAAAAAAAAAAACACCACCACCAAAGACTGTATTAATTTATACTCTAAAGAACTCAATTAAAATACGAAATTAAACGAACTTTGATCATCCTGGCTTTAGTCATTTTAGTCTTTTCCACTAGATTAATTTAGATACGCTTTCATCAATACCACATTGTCCTAATGACTACAGATTTATATTAAGTTTTAAATATAATAATGTTAAGTCTCCCAGCTTTATTCTCATGGAAATTAAAGATCTAAATAAAAGAATATACTATGCTTATAAACCGAAAAACTCAACAGCATCAAAATGTCAATTTTCCTAAATTTGATCTTTAGAGTCAATGTAAAATCCCAGTCGGTTTTCTTGCAGAAGTTAACAAGTTTAAATTCTGAGATTTATAGGGAAATACCAAAGATAGACCCAGCCATTTTGAGGTTCAAAGCTGAGAAAATTCCATTACTGAACATTAAGAATGATCACAAAGTTTTATAAATTAAGAATGTACAGGACTAGTACAATGATAAACAAACTGACCAATGTTAAAAGAATGGTCCAGAAACAAACCCATCCTATACACAGTACCCTGATTTATCAAACATCTGACACAGCAGTGCAGTGGGGAAAGGATGATCTTTCAATAAGCAGTGCTGAGTCAATTAGATATTCATATGGGAAAATAAATGAACTGTGACCCCTATACCTCACACCATACAAAAACCCAATTCCAGATGGATTACAGGTCTAAATGTGCGAGGTAAAACAGTAAGGGTTTTAGGAAAAAATATAAGGAATACTTCCAAAACTTTGGAGTAAACAAAGATTTCTTAAAACACAAATATCATTAAAGAAAAAAGGAAATAATTTATATGTTGTAATATACTTGATAAGGTAGAAAGTATATTAAGACCTTTTCTTCAAGCTGCCATTTACAGAGTGAAAAGACCCCAAAGAGTGGTAAAAAAAAAAAAATCTGTAATACATATCAAAGGACTTAGACTGCTAATATGTAAAGAATTCTTACAAATCAGTAAGAACAAGACTGACACCCGAAAGAAAAATGGGTAATGTCTTAAACTGGTACTTGACAAATGAGGTTATCTTCCTAACAGCCAATGAATATGAAAAGATATCTCACTTCATTAGTCACTAGGGAAACCAGGGAAATGAAAATTAAAACTACTCCCATCAAAATAGCCAAAACAGGGGCGCCTGGGTGGCTAAGTCGGTTGAGCGTCCGACTTTGGCTCAGGTCAGGATCTCACGGTTCATGGGTTCAAGCCCCGCATAAGGCTCTGTGCTGCCAGCTCAGACCCTGAAGCCTGTTTCAGATTCTGTATCTCCCTCTCTCTGACCCTCCACTGCTCACTCTGTCTCTCTCTCTCTCAGAAATAAATAAAAAAACATTTTTAAAAATAGCTAACACAGAAAAGAATAAAGTATTGTCAAGAATGTGGGGCAACTAGGGCGCCTGGGTGGCTCAGTCGGTTGGGCATCAGACTTCGGCTCAGGTCATGATCTCGCTGCCCGTGAGTTTGAGCCCCGCGTCGAGCTCCGTGCTGACAGCCAGCTCAGAGCCTGGAGCCTGTTTCGGATTCTGTGTCTCCCTCTCTCTCTGACCCTCCCCTGTTCAAGCTGTCTCTCTCTCTGAGAAATAAAAAAAAAAAAAAAAAAAAAAAAAGAATGTGGGGCAACTGAACTGTTACTGACCATGCAAAATGGTATCACCTCTTTAGGGGGACAGAAAAAAAATTGGCAGTATCTACTAAACCAAGACTTATGCCTAACTATGAGCATTTCTGACTTACATAACCAACAGAAATGTCTACATATGTTTGCTTTAGGGCATTTGAAAAAATACTGACAGCAGTAACATTTCTAATAACCAAAAGTGGAGACTGCTCAAAGTCCTATCAACACAGAATGAGTATATCACAGAATGAGGATATTAACTGTGGTTGTTCATACAGCGGACTACTATACAACAATGAAAATGACTAGTGTAAAACTCCATGCAAAACATGGATTAACCTCACAAATAATTCTGAGAAAAGTAGTACATTATATGATTCCATTTATGTACAGTTCAAATACAGGCAAAACAAATCAGTGGTTCTATAAGTTAGGACAAAGGTTACCTTGAGAGTTAATGACAGGTTGCGTTTATGACAGAGATTTCAAAAGGGCAGTTAGTTATGTTCTGTGTGTCTGGAAGCTGATCACATGGAGATGTGTGTTCAGTTTGTGAAAATTCATTAGGGTACACATTTATAATTATGCACTGTCATATCTCAATAAACGTTCAGAGAAAAATCTTAGCACTAGCAGACAGGAACACGAGGAAAGGCAAATTCTGAAGCACAAAATGTTCAAACTCACAAATGTTTATGCTTAAGCTGTGACAGTCTCCCCACTGCTAACATCACTATTTTCATCCTGTGCCATCTGTAAGCCTTACACCAAAAAGCTAATAACCGATTAAGTTCTTAAATAATAAAACTGGGGCTGCTGAAAGTAGGTTTTTGGATCTAACAATCCTCAAATAGGCCCTGAGACCAAATTATAAAGAAACAATCATTTACAGTCACTGAGCCTGTGTTTGGTTTAGCAAAATACTTCTAGTTACCCATAAGTCTTTAACACTATGGATGGGAGTACAAATTGTTAGATCCTTTTTGAAAGGCCGTTAATCACCCTGTCAAGTCTAAATGAACACAACCCAAGATTCAACAATCTTACATCTATACATGAATCCTACCTTAACAGCTACTGAATTTTGCAGTATGTATAACAAAGTTCAATGCAATGTTATCAACAGTAAAAAGGTAGAAACGATCTAAGTGGCAATCAACAGAAAAACACTTTAAACTGTCATGACACATTCATACCAGATGATAAGGATAATTTGTAAATTTATTGTTTAAAAGAAAACTAAGTCTCATGATAAAATTCTCTATTACCCCACGAAAAAGGTACATACACATACATGTTGGGTGCACCACACAATAATCAGTTAATCACTCCTGCAAAGTGGGACTGGAAAGAGAAGAGAGATTAGAGGAAACTTTTTAAAGTTATTCATACTTCTCCATTTTTTGTTTTTTTAGGATGAACAGGTACTTTTATCTTAAAACATTAAGTAACTTGAGATTACAGAATTTAACATTAATTGAATTTAAACAGGTTTCCCAAATGAAACACAGCGATTTATGCTATGCAAGATATTCATTCCTGAAAGAAATCTCCCTTCGGCAAAAGCATGCATACAAAGTAAGATGACTTATGGGAACAGTAAGATTAAAGCAAATCATGTAAACCCGTGCAACTTGTATAAATGTCCCTAAGAAAAAAACAATAATGTACTCAGGAAATACTTGGACAGCCAGGCAGGTGACTCAGACCTACAGGCTACCTCAGGGAATATTTAAACTGAATAAAAACGATGGACTGGATGTGCCATGACGATCCAGGTGGAAGCGGAGCTCTGAGCCAGCGAGGCTGCACAGAGGAAGTGGAGCTCTGAGGATGAGCCCGAGGGAAACAAGTGCTGGGTGCAAGTGCCTGTGTTTTATTAACTTTAACTCTCTTAAAATTATCCTGCAAGGGAGCTTGCTGCATGGCTGAGGGCTTTTCTCTTTCCTGTTAAACATTCTATTTCTATTTCTGCTTCTCACTACCTAGGAAAAATAGAATACGAACCAACAGGATTTGCTCATTATACTGACATCACTCTATTCACCAGTCAGGTATGAGCTAACCGGTGTTAAAAATACAAAAACAAAAACACTTCTAGCTAAAAGAACTGTACTACGATAATTGTTCCCTTCCAAAATTTAACCTTATCTAGACCCCCTGTAGTTAGCAACCTTAGTCAAAAATCGAAACAGGTCACAGAACACACAAGAACAAATAAATACAGTGGCATACTTTCACAATATAATCATTCAAATGAATTGACCAGTTACTTTAAATAAGATGTTTGCCTGTTTAACATTAGCACTTAAAAGTATAAATTTCTATTAGCTGAGCTCAGAACAAGTCACCTGATTTTCCCGTGTCAAATGAGAAGGGATTAGATTCTCCAGGACCTTTCTCATATCTAAATAAAATATTATACCTCAAATATGCCTGAATCCCAGGATCTTACTTTTTTCCTCTCGTTCAGCCTTTGATTCGCAGTCCTTACATAGTATCTAAGTATATAAACACAGAACCTCTGAACTTGTAAAAGAGACCAGAGATCTAGTCCACACATTTAAAAAAAAAAAAAAGCATTCTTTTCCTACCTCTGATCCTCTCTTTGACAGAAAGCTTATCTATTAAATATGTAAAATGGGTATGTTAAGAAGGATCCTGACTTATGCTTTTTGAGAAAAAGAATAAAGCAGACAACTCTCCAGCTTTCTGCAATACATAAAGATCCAAACCCATAAAACTTAAACTTTAAAACTGAACTAACTTAGTACAATTACTCAGTAAGTGAGAACTTAAGACCAGAAAAGCTAAATGACTTGCTCAAGATCAGACACTAGACAATGTCAGGGCCACAACTTTCTTTGAAAGCACCAAGTTAGGTTCTAAGTATGATTTTTGTTTACAGCCATTATATAAATAAATTCAACTCCATGAACATGCTGTTCTTCCCTATTTGCTAAACTTGTCAGTGTTCTGCCTAGGGCCATAACATGTGTAAACACATTACTGATAAATGGTAAGAAAAATGTATGTGCTTTCTGTAGAGATATTTTAAAAGTCTATTTTTTCTGTAGGGCACAACTTTAAAGTAGGTAAAGATTAATTATATTTTAATTAGGCAGACATAATCATAATTGGTCCTATCAGTAACACAAAATGGCTAGCATTCATTGAGCATTTACTAAATGTTATACAATTTACAAAATCTTTAAATTCATTTAAACCCTACAATTCCTCATTTCAAAGTCAAGGACAATGCAGTATAGTGCTAGAATAT